CACAATCCCAGAGCCTAACTGTGATTTAATCCTCACTTATAACAAATAACTCTAAACTATATACCCTTCCCTGCTTTATTCGTCCTAATCATAAATGACATTTTACCTGAATTAGCAGTCATTCCTATCGCAGGGTGTTGGTTTAGTGTCACTTTTAGAGGATGTATGGCTGAAAGTTGACTCCTAAACCAATCATCATCAAGAGTTAGAGTGAATCTTAGTTTTTATATGACTGGTACATCTGCTGGGTTAACAAATAAATAAGAAATCTGCATTAAAGTCTGTCAAGTAGAAGGAAATTTGGGTCGATTTGTTTTAAGTGATTCGTGGAGTCTTAGGCATCACGCAATCCCTTGTATTCACACTAATTGTGAGTGAAAAGTCTGCTTTGTGCATTTTGGGCAAATCGTACACATTCAGAGGTGATGTGGGTTTATTTCACACATGTCCACTTGCATTTAGCCTTTAGGTATAATCCGGTGGTAGTCTTATTCAGTAGCATCTAAAGTAGTATCTAACCTCTTTTATCATTCGTTCCTTTGCATAACGCAACTCGATATCATCATTTCCTCGCAGTCGTCTGCAACTGGCACCAAGTCAGTGGGCTGGCTGCCGAGTTATTGCCTCGAGAGATGCGTTTTTGCGAAATCCTGCTCTCTCATTTCGACAACGTTTGTCCCGGGGCCACGGATCTGATACAGAAGAGGCTCATGCGCTCAAGAAACCCTATTTTAGTCGCTAACGCGGTACCATTTACGGGTAAATTCGTTCAAGACATATTTTTTGGAGGGGCTCTTCAAAAGCCGACTTTGCTTTACAGAACAACTGCAACAACAACTCGGCTCGGTCACAGTCATTGCTGGATTGTGGCTTCCGCCTCGGCGACGGGATCAGATTCCGTGTCGTGCATGTCACGATTGCTTGACCAGGTTCCAGACGGTTCCTGGACCAATGCGACTCTCCAGTCAAATTTGTAGATGCCACTCTGGTTGTCATAACAAATTGTACTTCTCGATGCAATCGAATCCATTTTAAAACGCAAGACCAAGTCAAATTTGAGTCAGTTGTGTCCATTCCTGCCTCATCTTGAAGGATCCAGAAGCAGTCAAGATGACTGTCAAAGTGGCATCTGCTTATTGCACCAATCTTGTTCTCTCTCCTTTGACCAGCCGTTCTCTGACAGAGTCGATCGAGCCGAGGGCACGTCGAGACAACCGACAAGAATACACGTTTCCATGGTCGTGGGTGGAGCCGAGGCGTGTCGACAGATGACTCGCGTCGTCAAGAGCATCCTGCTTCAGCGGAGCCGGATGAAATGGCCCATTTACGCCGACGACAAACTGCTGCCTTCAGAGATGGTAACTGTGGCGACTCGGCATGGTTGCAACAAGTCGAGGCCAGAAGCTGTGACTGCCTCGTCGTCAAGCGGGTCTAACAAGAGGACGACTGTCAAGTCTGGCGCTGAGAGTGACTATGACGACGAGGCGATGGTTGAGTGTCGAGGAGCGAAAGAGGACCGGTCAAAGCAGACGACGATGAAGTCGAGAAGAGCAGAGTCAGTCGAGATGGGCATTTTCAGATGGACCTTGTGCCTTCATTTGCTGGTCGACCTACAGGCCGGACTTTCCCTGCAAACCCTCTTCTCCACTTGGCGACTGCCCGACACTCAGGTCTACTTTTATCCCATCCAAGAGGCAGTTGTAAGTGACATCATCTCATACATGCCAATATCTACCAATGCTTTAAATTCATACTTTCTATTCTAAACTGTGAATATCGCAATTTAACTGATATGTGGAATAAAAGTCTGTTTCTTCGCCGATTCTACCTCGTCAGTAAATGCATGAGCTACAGCAAATTAATTTTTTTAAAGTTCATCGTGTTCCATAACCCTTAGTCACGGTGCCTACTCGCAATGAATGTAGTAGTATTGCAATTGCAGTTTTAATTATGACCCTGTCTCGGCCAATATCCCATTATTAAATGCGACTTGGGAAGATCTGACCCGTCTTGAAGGCAACATCTTAAATAGCCTTGAATGCGACCTCGACTGACTCGACTTCCTATTCAATATCAAATAATACTCGCCTATACTACTCATTAGCAATATAGTAGTACAATCAATTTCAGTTTAATATATGACTTTGTCTCATTCACCCTTTCACTTCTCGATTCGACTTTATACAATCCTGATCTGCCTTAAAGGCTAAATCTCTAATCACTTCAAGTTAACTTGGCTGTTGCTCATTTCTCTGGGTATGTCTTCGCCTGAACTATCAATGCAGCCAAGTTTTAATGAAAATAACTTTCGTTTTAACTCATCAATCAACCTTGTTTAGCCAATTTGTAAGAATTTTACCCTAATAGCGATAAATTAGAAAGCACTTTTATGTGAAAACAGTTTTTTGCCAAGAAAAATTTATTTCCTATGCGTCCTGGATGCAGCCTAACAAACGAAATTCTGAAAAGGTCAACTTTGGCGAGCTATCTAAACGTTGAGAAGAATGCTTTTGTCCGTATTTGGACACCGGCTCCTCTTCTTTCCTCGCCGAATCCACTCTTCTTCTTCTCAAGAAGGCCATTAGCAAGCACTTACTAGCAGATTTGCAATCGTCCTTTGCCATCATCGAAACCAGATACCTATTTATTTTGTCCAGAATAGCTGTGCATTATTTTAACGATACGATAATCATTTTGATACAGATATTTATTCTCCCGACCTTAATGCTACATATCATCTTGTCTAAATATTGCCTCTCCTCCCACATCTTTACCCATTACAAAGATGAGCTGTGATATATTTTTATCATTGCAATACATAGAGACTGAACAGATGCCATGCTTGTTTGATACAAGCTTGATACAGAGACAATAAATTAAGGCTGAACAGCGTACAGGCTAATAAAATAATGCTTTTAATGATTTTCATTTTGCCAGCAAGTAGATCTGATGAAAAGATTGGATAGGTCTAACTCACCAGAAAGATTTGCTCGATTTAACTTGATTTACAAGGGCCAGATTGACGGAAGCCACGAGACATTCCACTTGGATTATCATTTGCACCGGAATCGGCATCTCCGAGGTCGAAGTTGGAGAGTAGGTTTAACGTGTAGAAACCAGCAGGCCAATCCTTCCTAGCATGCACCAACAACATTGACAACATCAGAAACAACAACGAAGATAAGAAGGACGAGATTAGATGAGAGATAGGGCCACTCGGTCATTAAGTTTTCAGGAAATTCGAAGTATTACTGTGTTGTGTGTTGCATGTATTTGTTTGTACTAGTGTCTATTCTTCAAATTGTTGGGAAAACTGACACAGGAATGGGGAAATAAGACAGCTTTCACAGAAATTCGTACACTTTATTTAGTTGCCCCAAATTATAGAGATAAATTTAAAGCGTTTTCCCGATCCGACTTCCACATTCTTCTGTAGGCATCTGGTCGCTTTCAAGGTTGGATAAATATGTCACTGTATTCGACAAATGATTTCAAACTGGACGCACATAAGATGGGTACACATGTGTACCCCTAGAATTATTTAAAGCAGATCACCTTGAGGGTTTACCAGAGTAACTACCACTAAAACTAATATTAGTATGAATAATAAAAAGAAATACTCATTACTATAACCACTAATAATAGGAATAATTACTTTTACTGCCAGTAAACATTTTAGTGTCACAACTTTTACTAATAGCACAAGTACTACTACTACTATTACTAGTAGTACTATACAACTACAATAACAATAATTAGTTTTAGAATAACAATAATAACTACTATGGCCACAACTATTGTAACCATACCAGCAACAACTTATATTACTTTATACCTTTCCCAACTCTTCCTATTCTCTCTCCTCCTGTTTCATCTTCTTCTTCTCCTTTATTTTGCCGATACTGCTGATGATGTTGCTCGTATGGCTTTAACCATTAATATTACTACTGCTAATATTACTAGGGGATATCCTCGACAATTAAATGCCTACTAAACAGGCTAAAATTATTTATAATTAATTCCTAGCCCCATTAGTAATGATAATATTAGTAGTACTAGTAGTAGTAATAGTAGCAATACACTAATTCTTACTTATTACCTTCCTCCGCTCGTCATTAAAACCCTAACAGCAACCACAAAACAATAGCCGCCATGATAATAACGATCACAGCAACAACGACTACTACTATTAATGCTGCTAGAACTATTGATGAATACGTTTTGTCTGTTTGGAAGGCATTACATTGTCGAGGATATTGCTAAAAGGCGGCAACTCGCGTCTCAAATAATTGAGAAGTTGTATAGACTGCAGTCTTCTTCGTTTTTCTGCCAGTTCGTTCCAGCTGTCACCTTCCCACATCCTTGGGTACACGCGATGCCTCTTAGCAACCCTCCGTCCGAGATTTCGA